TAGTTGAAGACTAGATAGTTATAGTTTTCCTTGGTTATGATAAAAGATAAATTATATATGAAACTTTAGATTCATAAATATAATATAGATAGAATGTTTTATTTAATTTTGCCAAATACAAATAGACTAGATATTATAACTGTAATTCTTGCTTGATAACTGTTCTATAATATGTAATTTTACTATGTTAAAGTTAAAACCTTCCTTTTTGATTAGAAAAATGAGGGGAAGTGCTGAGGGATGTGAATATGTGTTGCTCTGATTCATTGATAAATAAAATGCTGATTGGCCAATAGCCAGGCAGGAAGTATAGGTGGGATAAGCAGAGAAGGAGAATTCTGGGAGAGGTAGGCTGAGTCAGGAGATGCCAGCCCACAATCCAGGGAGCAGCATGTAACAGCACACAGGTAAAGCCACAGAACACATGACAGCATATAGATTAACAGAAATTGGCTGAGTTTAAATGTAAGAGCTAGTCAGTGGTAGGCCTGAGCTAATGGTCGAGCAGTTTTAATTAATATAAGCTTCTGAGTGATTATTTTATAAGTGGCTGTGGGGTCCATGGGGCTTGGCAGAACGAGAGAAAACTTCAACAACATCAACCCAATAGGAGGAAAGAGTCCAAGAGTAGGCAAAACAATCAGAGAGACATCCACTTCCACTGTTAAGAGTCCCACAAAAACGTCAAGCTAACAGCCATAACATATATACAGAGGATCTGGTGCCAACTCTTGCAGGCCCTGTGCTTGCTATTTCAGTCTTTGTAAGCCCATATGAGTCTTGCTTAGTTGATTCAGTGGGCCATGTTCTCCTGGTGTCCTCTATCCCCTCTGACTCCTTCAATCTTTCCTTCCCCTCTTCTGCCTAGTTCCCCAAGCTCTGAGAGGAGGGATCCAGTTGCAGAATATTCCTTTTCACTGTGTGAAGATGTGTCACTGTGACTGGTTTAATAAAGAGCTGAATGGTCAATAGCTAGGAAGGAAGAGGTTAGGTGGGACTTCTGGAGAAAGAGAGGGACACACCTGGTGCCGGAAGCCAGGAAACTGTCACTCAGAGGTAGAAACAGCAGGAAATAAGATATACAGAAATAAAGAAAGGTTAAAAAACCCTGAAGTAAAGCATAAATAAAGAGAAACAAATTAAAATAAGAGTTAAGACAAGGCCAAGCATTCATAATTAATACTAAGTCTCCCTGTCATATTTTGTGAGCTGACAGTTCAAAGAAAAATCTGTCTACAGGATCCAATAAGACCTCTGACTTAGACTTTCCCTCTGCATAATGTCTATCTGGCTATTGGTCTCTGAATCTGTACCCATCTACTGCCAGAGGAAGCATCTCTGATGATGACTGGACAGGCACTTTTCTATGAGTAAAGCAGAGTAGCATTAAGAATCATTTCATTGATTTCTTCTTCTTCTTCTTCTTCTTCTTCTTCTTCTTCTTCTTCTTCTTCTTCTTCTTCTTCTTCTTCTTCTTCTTCTTCTTCTTCTTCTTCTTTTTCTTCT